GAATTCAGAAATAGTTTTGAAACAAATCTTTGCGCTTAGCAAACTAAGTTAATCATGTATAGGCTAAAGGATGTACAACACGTTTCCTTATCCACGAGAGTGAAAGTGAAAGTAAATAATGAGGAGGCTCATCTCTCATTCTCTCGCGCTGCAGGTGCTCTGTTTAACTGTTTTCTCGCTAGTGAAGTGTTCAGTTTTTACACTTACAGAGTCTGCATTGTGAATAGCAAATGCGCTATGGTGCGACGCAACTTTGTGCCAAGATTGTTAAAATAGAGCCCTAAATGTTAGAGTGTTCTAAATGAATAGGGAATGGGGAGATATCAGGAAGCCAGGAACTATGTTTCTAACTACAGCTCCTGAGGTGTAGTTGCAAGTGCATAAATTTGCGAAGCAGTTTGCGCATGTTCATTGGAACGACCGATTTGGGAAATGGCAAATCTACAAACTATGTTTGTAACGACGGAACTTGCTACCTTAGTTGACTAACAATGGTTTTGGGTAACACACCCCAGATTGACTCCCCTTTGGAGAAGTTGGTGCTGTTTTTGCTACATTGACTTCCATTATAATCACATTTATTGACTGTAAAGTCATGACAGCAGATAGGGTTAGGGTTTTTTGCACTGTACCTGATGATCAACAGTAAGAATGGCACATTGTCCCTCTCCCCAACAGGGAAACCAGCAGCAGTCAAGAATGCATGATTATCTGCTGTCATGACTGTGCAATCAATAAATGTGATTATAATGGAAGTCAATAGAGCAAAAACAGCAGCAACATCACCAACGGGCAGTCAAAGTGCCCTAAGTGTTTTGTTGAGTTTACCAAAAATTTCAGCATTTTCCTAAAATATGTGTCAGCAAAAATCCTCACATTTGCTGAAACACAGAACATCGTGACCAAATTAAGACTAAACATCACCTCTGAGTGGATGAAAACGACCCAACAGCACACAAGGGTTAATCGTGAGTTCAGTTAATCATCACATCCCTATCGATGAGTCCCACAAACACTGATAATGCTTACTGCTATTTCATTGACATAATTTAATAATTACTCTGGAAGTGACCTGCTGGTCTAACTGCTGATTTAACATATGTTTCTTAATCTGCTTATTGAGGGCGCATTTATTTGATCAGAAAATTACTTTAATATTTACTCCTCACAGCTTTTATACTTAGTTAAATCAGCAATCAAAAAACCAAACATACACAAATTGTGGACATCAAAAGTTTTATCTAATCAATGTACATGAAATTATTTTAATTCATGTTCATCTTTTCTGTGTGTATAATTAATGCTAATGTTAAAACATGGAAATGGTTTTAATGTAAATATTAGTTCATGTAAACATGTTTATGTATATAGATTATGGAAAGCAAATGGTAAATTAAACATTAAAGACAAAAACAACTGAAACTCATGAACTGTTCCACACTTTCACTTGATGTTGTGCATTAAATAAGCAGGAGTTATCTTATATAAATATTACTCGAGTCTACATTAGAATACTGTATACGAGGTCTGTTTGAGGGATAGTTTTCAGGATCAAACCTGCAAAAATCAAATAAACACACACACACACACACAAATACATAAATGTGAAAATAATAAATAAAATAAATAAATATCTGACTCTAAATTAAACATTTACTTTGTATTTTAAATTAGTCAATGCTAAAAAATATATATATATCATTCATAATTTGTTCTTATAACATTTTTATTAATTTATTTTCTATTTATTTATGCATTTATAATGTAAGTTATTTATTACTATATCTACTTCTGTATTTATTTCCATGTTTATGATTGGCTTTCTTTTTACCTTTCAATCTGAAGTCATTTCCAATAGTTTTTTCCAACATTTTTTAAAGCATCTTTTTTCTTAAACATAAGAAAAAAAAAAGAAACTCAAGCATGTTTGGAACAGAATGAAGCTGAGCAACTGATGGCAGAACTTTCTTTTTGGGTGAACTGTACCTTTAAGCAGGCTGGTCTGTTTACCCTGTGGCTCCGCTTCCTCCAGTGATGTAGCTTAGTAACCAGTGTAAACACAGACTCAGACCACTCCCCCTGATGGCTGCTCTGGAGTCTCTGCTGGAGGACAGTCAGTCTGCGTTCAGTCGACTGATGGAGAAACACAGGAGCGGCAGGAAGGTTTGTGTGAGGGTTTTACATTGTATTACACGTAATATCAGAGAAATAATAATTCAACACCAGCTGCACTGTATGAACTCTGACCAGCAGCACACAATGAAACACACACACACACACACACACACACACACACACACACACACTCTCACACACACAGACTGACTCACTTCTGTTTATCTAAATGCACAGAAAACTCTCTCTTTGAATCTTTTGTTCATTTCTGATTTTAATTTTAAGCCTTTTTTAGTACACTGAAAAAAACGGTTGATTGCAAAATTGTTGCAAATAATTTATATAAGCTGAATTTAAACACAAATTAGGTTGAACAATCATTCTTTTTTTTCCGCTTAGTCCCTTTATTAGCTGAGTCACAGGGAGAACATGCAAACTCCACACAGAAACCCCAACTGACTTACCCGAGGCTCGAACCAGCAACCTTCTTGCTGTGAGGTGATCATGCTACCCACTGCGTCACCATGACGCCCTGAGTTAAACATTACTAAATGTAATTTGCTTATTCAAATTCAGTCCAGGCGAGGCGGTGGCGCAGTAGGTAGTGCTGTGGCCTCACAGAAAGAATGTCACTGGTTCGAGCCTCGGCTGGGTCAGTTGTTCTATGTGGAGTTTGCATGTTCTCCCCGTGTTGGTGTGGGTTTCCTCTGGGTGCTCTGGTTTCCCCCACAAGTCCGAACACATGTGGTACAGGTGAATTGGTTGTGCTAAAAGATTGACCGTAGTGTGTGTGTCTGTGAATGGGTGTGTATGGATGTTTTCCAGTGATGGGTTGCGGCTGGAATGACATCCGCTGTGTAAAACATGTGCTGGATAAGTTGGCGGTTCATTCTGCTGTGGTGACCCAATAATAATAAAGGGACTAAGCCGAAAAGAAAATTAATGAATGAAAAATTCAGTCCATATAAAATGTTTGCAACCTCTAAGCTTAAATTTAGTCAATCCAAGTAAACTTTTTTCAGTGTACAGACTATTCTACCTTATTCTACCAAACAATTTTAACACTGAGCCAGATCAGTCTTGCTGTTGTAATTTGTTAACTTAAATGGCAACTATTTAAAATTGCTTTTAGTTAGGAAATGATTAGAATTTACTAGCTGAAAGAATAGTTTAGACTTTAATTTGACTAAAATTACTCAAATAATGCCATATAAAAACACAAATAAAATAAAATCACAAGTAAAATCAACTGAAAATATTACATTTAACCAAAAAAAATTGTTAATTTAAAGTTTTATTAATCAAAATGTGAAATGTTGCATTGGCAAAACTAAAATACTAAAATGCATATAAAATACTTCATGCAAACAAGTCCTTAGATTGTCTTATTTGTTGCAGTTGTTTTTGAAGAAATACACTAGTGTTGTCACCAGTTTCAAGGTAAACCACAGTAAATTTTGTAGAGGTTAGTATTACTGTTTCAAATATTCATTATAGCGATTTTGGTAAGTTTTATAACACTGCAATTAGCCATCTGTGAAAGTCTGTAACATAAATGCATGTTTATACAGACAGTAAACTAATTTTTTATCCCTTGCATTTAAAATGTGTGATAACTGGGGAATCTTTTGTCTCTTGGTTGTGATAATTTATGCTCAAAAAAGGAGGAAAAGATTTAATTGTTCAAAGTCAAAAAACAAACAAACAAACAAACCAGATCATTATTGAGATTAATGTTCAATTAACAACTGTAAAATATATCCATAAATTAGTAATTTTCAGTATTTATTGATTAATGTTTTTATTTTTCCCAATTTATTTCCTCTTCTGAATTGCATTAATAGATCTTGATCTTTCTTCCAACAATTTTTAACATTTAAAAGCTTGAAAAAAAGTGATGCTAACAAAACATGTAAACAAACAGGCTTTCATATTCAGAGCAGACTGTAGTTTGGACTGATCTCAGGTCAGTTTCCTGGCACGCAGCAGACCGGTTTATCAGCCCCAGATTAGCAGTGCACGTCTCCTGGAGCCCGTAAACATGAGCGAGGGTTAGTTTCAGACAGACAGACAGACGGTATGGAGAAAGATGCTTCTGGAGACTCTGAGAACGGCAGCAGTTTATTTCACCATCGGCTGAGGGCCAGGAGACGAACACAAGCCGACAGTCAGCCGGTCAGTGCTCAGAAAAACAACACCGTCATGTTTACTAGAGAGAAATGAAGGTTTCTGAGAGAGAGAGAGATCATACTGCTAGTGCTGGATTTATCAAACAAACGCTCTCGATAATAATATTACTCTGATTAAATCATGCGGAATATCTGACTAATGCATAGTGAGATAATACTAATAATAATCTGAATTAAATAATACTGAGTATCTGTTGACTGATGCATATTAATATGCATTTTTACGACCATTTTTAAGATCTTTTTGTTATTAATATTTGAGATTAGGCGAGGCAGTGGCGCAGTAGGTAGTGCTCAAGTTGGCGGTTCATTCTGCTGTGGCGACCCCTGATTAATAAAGGGACTGAGCCGACAAGAAATTAATGAATGAATAATCATTATTATAATAATAAATTCCCAGTACTGGGTTGCAGCTGGAAGGGCATCCGCTGTGTAAAACATGCTGAAATAGTTAGCGGTTCATTCTGCTGTGGTGACGCATGCTAATCAGGGACTAAGCCCAAGGAAAATTAATGAATAATTAATAATAATAATCTGAACTAAAGCATACTGGATATCTGCTGACTAATTTTTACGACTAGTCGTCTTTTTGTTATTAATATTTGAGATTTTACTGTTAGTACTGTATTTTTCAAACTGACCCTCTTGATAATAATAATAATAATAAGCTGAATTAAATCATAATGAATATCTGAATATTAAAATATGAGGGTATTTATGTTGTAAACTTGTGTTTTTTGTGACTGTAGTTGTCTTTTTGTTATAAATATTCACATTTTAAACATGCGCACACTTAAATAAACCAACAGAAAGTGTGTTGGTGTGTTTATATTCTGAGAAAAAGTTAAATAAGTGGTCAAATATTTAGCTGTGATGATCAGTGTATGCTTTTAGGCGAGTCTTTAGTGTAATCTGATAAAGGAAGATTAAGGAATGTGTTTAAATACCCGCAAGCATCGTCACACTGATGCAAACAGATATGGAGTGTGTCTCAAAAGGACTGTCTCTTATACTCACGTACAGCAGATCTGTCATTATCACCTGTCTGTGTGTGTGTGTGTGTGTATTTGCATGTGTCTTTGTGTGTGTGCCTATATCTGTATTTGCATGTGTGTGTGCTTGTGTGCACATGTCTTTGTGTGTATGTGTCTGTGTGTGTATATGTGTGTCTGTGTGTGTATATGTATGTGCATGCCTGTGTGTGTGCATGCATGTGTCTTTGTGTGTGTCTGTGCATGCATGTGTCTGTGTGTGTATATGTGTGTGCATGCCTGTGTGTGTGTGCATGCATGTGTCTTTGTGTGTGTCTGTGCATGCATGTGTCTGTGTGTGTATATGTGTGTGCATGCCTGTGTGTGTGTGTGCATGCCTGTTTGTGTATGCGTGTTTGTATGCATGCGTCTATGCATGTATCTGTATGTGCATGCCTGTGTCTGTGCGTTCATGTCTGTGTGTGTGTGTGTGTGTGTGTGTCCTCGTGTGTGTGCATCTTTTTGTGTGTTTCTGCATATGCCTGTGTGCCTATGTATGTGTTTTCATGTGTGTGTGACTGTGTGTGTGGGTGGGTGTGTATCTGCATCTCTGTGTGTATGTGCATACGTGCGTGTGTGTGTGTGTGTGTGTGTGTGTGTGTGTGTGTGTGTGTAGAAGTTTCTGTTACACAGGCTGGTTGTTGCCGCTCGTCTCTCCTGCACACCGGAGGACAGGTCCACTGTAGCAGGTCTGAGCAGATTATCGGCATCTGTTTTCATCCGCTCTCAGATTTCTGATGAATAGTTTAATCCATTATACTGACGCAGAGAACTATTGTGTGTGTGTGCGTATGTGTGTGTGTGTGTCAGCTCACTATGAGAAGCTGAATATGAGCATTCAGAGGAGCCGTCCAGGGGAAGAGCTCACAGGTCTCCTTCTGCTTTACCCTCAACACACGCTGCTCGTCATCGAGGTAAAAACACATTTAATTCAATAAATCTGTCAGAAACTGAGAAATATTATTATATATTAATATTAATTATTTACGAGACATGCCCTAGTAACACATTTAAGATTGTCAAATAATGTACACATGTTCTCCCCGTGTTGGTGTGGGTTTCCTCTGGGTGCTCCGGTTTCCCCCACAGTCCAAACACATGCGCTATAGGGGACCTGATCAACTAAACTGGCCGTAGTGTATGAGTGTGTGTGTAAATGAGTGTGTATGGGTGTTTCCCAGCAGCTGGAAGGGCATCCGCTGTGTAAACATATGCTGGAATAGTTGCCGGTTCACACCGCTGTGGCGACCCCTGATAAATAAGGGGCTTAGCCAAAGGAAAATGAATGAATGAAAAAATGTACAGCGTTCATTCTAAACAAATACTGCAAGCACACATAGTTCAGGGTACATATGCCGGTTCTCAAAAATGTAGCCCTGGGCACATATTCCCAATGGGTCAGTGAGCATTGGTTGAATGTAATGCTATGATTGTCTTTCATTAACTAGTGTTCAACGGAGGCTCTGCTGTCCGTCCTGCAGGATCTGAGACACATGGAGGAAAACCCTGACAGGTGATCTGCTGAACATTACCTACAATGCACGACGCTCTGAAATCACTCATTCTTTCCTATATAGTGAGTGCACTAGATGGGGAATGAGTGAGTTAACAAAAATCAACACATATGAACAATGCATTGCAATAAAAAATGTACATATATCGATATATACATATATAAAATAACTATAAAGGGTGACGCAGTGGCGCAGTAGGTAGTGCTGTCGCCTCACAGCAAGAAGATCACTGGTTCGAGTCTCGGCTGGGTCAGTAGTGTTTCTGTGTGGAGTTTGCATGTTCTCCCTGCGTTTGCGTGGGTTTCCTTCGGGTGCTCCGGTTTCCCCCACAGTCCAAATGTAAGGTAGGCCAGCTAATGAATGCTGTGCAGGTAAACCTCACTCCTCTGACCTCTATAGGTGCTCTAGCGACAGACACTAGAGGCCATGGTCTTTAGCCTCCTTGGTAGAGTACCTGACTCCCATGCGGAAGGTCGCCGGTTCGATACCAGCTCGGAGCGGGTTGGGTGGCGTAGGACCGGCGGGGTTACACAAACACATGCCGTACAGGTCAATTGGGTAGGTTAAATTGTCCATAGTGTATGAGTGTGTGGTTGTTTCCCAGAGATGGGTTGTGGCTGGAAGAGCATCTGCGACTTAAAAAACGTGCTTGGCGGTTCATTCCGCTGTGGCGACCCCGAATGAATAAAGGGACTAAGCCGACAAGAAAATGGGAACTAATAAAAGGAAAATTTAACTTAATGCACTAAATTTACATATAAATAAACAGACAAGTGTAGCTTTAGCTTCCTGTTGATCATTTTTATTATACACACCTGTGTTTAATCTGTCCCCGCAGCAGTCTCATCCTGCATCCCAGAATCCTCCTGGTTTCCCATGATCTTCCCTGCAGACTCTTCCCGCAGTGGTTCTGCATGATGCTGAGTGAGTCTGAGAGCCGGAGAACAGAAGCTTCAGATGAGCAAAACCCAGAGAAACTGCTGAACCAGACCATGAAGCAGCTGCTGCAGCTCGGCTGCCATCTGTACAACACACAGCACAACACGGTACACACATTACACACACAGCCATGGGACAATAACCAGTTTCAAGGTTTTAAAACTGCTAATATTTTCTGTTATATTATACCGTTCTTAAGGCATATGTAAGTTGTTGTTGATTTGTTGATAAATACTGTTTAATTTGATTTATTTAAACCAGTGAAAAGAAAAGGTTTAAAATAGATTCTTCATAAATAAAAATTGTTAAAATCAAATTATGATGTGTTTGTCACAGTTAACAAGTTATGTGCTGTGGGTAAACGGTGTTTCAATCCGGCTAAGTTACCATATTTCAGACCTGTGGGAAGCACTGTAAACACATACTGTATATACAGATGTAAATATAACCTATAATTTAAAACATTAACTGCTAAAATGTTCAGTCTTCTGTTTATGATTATTATGTTAAAGTTAAGACAATGATAACACACCATTGTTACAGTATATTCTTTGATTGAATGTAATGCTAACCATACGTTACCTGCTAACTAAAGCAGCTCAAAAAGTTCACAAAAAGAGAACAGTGTGAAAATATTGATAAGGACAAAGATTAATACTCTAACTGGAGTCATTTAAAAGTCGTTACAGCATCGACAGATCATCAATTACCACTGCAGCTTACTTTAAACAGCGCGATAAATGCGAGACACACTTACTGTTTATCAGCTCAATCCGGACATTTTGCCGGTGTAATCTTCAAGGTTTCTCCGACGCCATATTGTCGCTGCCTCTAAAGTAATGTTATCTTTACAAATGCTCACTGTATTCGACTTTACAGTTCAGCATCAGCGTCACTAGTGTCTAAATGACATTTACGGGTAATAATATGAAGAAATCTGTATGTTTTTCCAGTGTAGTCCTTCAGGCTCACAGTTGAAGCGCGTGACAGTCTGTGATCCTATGGCAAGCAGAACGCGCGTCTGCGGAATGGCGCGTGAAAGTTGCCGCCATGATGTTATAAGATAAACAACTTTTTACAGCATAAATTACATTTCGTGGAATCAAATTGGAAGGAAAAGTGACCAAAACTCAGTAAATAGTTTTAAATAAACTAACTTCATATCACAAACTCAAACTTCAGTATAGTAGGCCTACCACATTTGCTGAAAAGGAGTTCACCTAAAAATGAAACCTGTTATCATTCACTCACCCTTCACTTGTTCAAACTTAATTTGAGTTTCTTGCTTTCGTTCAAGTTTAAATAAATTCTTTTGAAGAATATGTTGCTGAAGATTTCCAAGTATTTTTCCTGCTATGGAAGTCAATTAATGCCGGAATTATTGTAAATTTTGTCTTTTGAACAGAAGACACTCATGAAGTTTTAAAACCACACAAGAGATTTACTTCATAATAAATGACGAGGTAAATAAACATTTGCGCTGAAATGTTTGAGCATTGCGATGGCGCAACGGTTAGCATGCTCACCGCAAGAAGGTCGCTGGTTTGAGCTTCGGGTTGGCTGGGTCAGTTGGCACTTCTGTGTGGAGTTTGCATGTTCTGTTCGTGTGGGTTGTCTCAGTGATGTGTTGCAGCTGGAAGGGCATCAGCTGTGTAAAACATATGCTGGATAAGTTGGCGGTTCATTCTGCTGTGGCGACCCCAGATTAATAAAGGGACTAAGCCGAAAAGAAAATGAATGAATGTTAAAGCCACTGATTGACATACACTGCATGATCACACACACAAATGAAAAACGTATTTACTATTTACCCATTGTGGTTCTAAACCAGTTTCTTTGTTGATGTTGTTGAGCACAAAAGAATATATTTGAATAATAATACCCGTTAGCCACTGATGTCAACAATAGGAAACACAAATACTAAGAAAATCAGTAGCTGATTTCCAACATTCTTCAAAATATCTTCAATATATCTGTGTGTGTGTTGATCAGGGATCTACAATGCTGACTCCTGACGAAGTGCTGAAGGACGTATCAGATGTTGTTCCTCCTGTGGCTGCAGTGTATCGCCTGCTCCAAATGGAGGCGCTGTTGAGTCCTGCGCGCTACATCAGCACATATCACTCACCAATACACCAACCGCTTGACTCCGGTAAATACACACTGATATTATTCACACTGTAACACTGTAATGTTGAATGTATATGCAATTCATATACAAAATATATCATTTCAGTATTCTAGATTCAGAATGCCATGTGCTAAATCAGGCTAGTTAGAAACGTCACCAGAATGTTATTCAAACATTGCCGAAACATGCAAGCAATGCATATATAGGCCTGTGCAACAGAGGCCAGCTAGTAAGTGCTGTGCAGGTAAACTGACCTCTAAAGGTGCTTTAGTGACAGACGCTAGAAACCATGGACTCGACTCTTTAGCCTCCATGTTAGAGCATCTGACTCCCATGCGGAAGGTCGCCGGTTCAATCCCAGCTCGGAGCAGATTGGGTGCATTAGGACCGGCAGAGTTACACCTAGCATCATTAAACTATGCCAAAACATGCTATAAACAAACTAAAACATGGCACCAATTCAATAAAGCATATAAACATAGACAAACATGTTGATATGCAGTAACTGATGACAAAGATTTTACAACCGTATGCTAGCATTTTGATATAGCTATGATAAAACATGCTAGCACAATGGCAACACATGTTAGCAACATGCTAAATCATGCTAGAATCTCCCATAGGAGTCTGATAAAACATGCTAACTTTGTTGAAGCGAACATTTACACTATTAATTTATGCTTTTCTTTTACTTTGCCTACAAAAACTTACTTTTAATCAGTCATACAGAAATGCTGGAATAAAATATTCGATTACAGCTATTAGAGAAGACACTTTTGAGTGAAATGTCATAGCGATATGAATATCTGATGTGTGTTTTTGACTATTGTGTATTGATCACGTGGAGGAGCAGTGTGTGTGTTGCTTCAGCTGAGCATCTTGTTCTCTGTGATCATTGAAGGTCATGTGTTCAGCAGTTTCCGGCCCTTCTCGGTGTAGCTTTGAATGTAGAGGAGGTACGGCATCATGATTTTACCCCTGCAGTGCATGCCAAAGACCACAGCAGTCTCCACCAGTGCTGGGAGTAATGCATCACAGGCTGTTATTTGTGTTACATTACATTGTCCACTTTCCACCATCATTTAAACAGTCCTTGATAGTCTTGGGTTTTGTATTAGAGGCTAAGAAAACTGTGTAAAGTGCACTGTTAACAATTACTGTATAGATCAATTCACAGCAGAAATACTGTATTTATACTTACAGCTGATCCGAGGACATCCTGCTAATGCATTACATTCAACACTGGCTTTACCCCAGCACTGGTCTGGACATCATGTGTGTGTGTGTGTGTGTGTGTGCATGTGTATGTGCATGTGTTTGTGTGTGGACTAAAGATGCATAACCGCTCATCTCCATTGCTCAAATGAGTGTCCTGAATACAACACACACACATTCTCCATCATCAGCTGCTCTTCGCATTCACTTACTGACCATCAGTTAAGATACATCTAAAATACATCATCATCATCATCATCATCATCATCATCATCATCAGCTCTCCAGTGTTCATTTGTCTTGTAGACTCCTGGAGAGATGATGATGATGATGATGATGATGATGATGATGATGATGATGGTTCAGATTAACTGGACACTTGTTCATCCACACTTTCAGCTTTCTTCAAGCGTCTCATTTATTTACTGATCAGACAAAGTTATTCTCCCTCCTGTTAAATTAGATTATTATTCAGAGATTTCCTATAAGTGCTGCTTAACAGAGCATGGAGATTTCCACAGTATAATATGTGTTCCTTATGGGGAAAGTCTATATACAATAATGGCCGACACGTTAACACTCACCTCACAGCAAGAGGGTTGCTGGTTGGAGTCCCCCCTCGGGTCAGTTGGTGTTTCTGTGTGGAGTTTGCATGTTCTCGCCGTGTTGGCGTGGGTTTCCTCCGGGTGCTCCGGTTTCCCCCACAGTCCAAACACATGCGGTATAGGGGAACTGATCAACTAAATTGGTCGTAGTGTATTAGTGTGTGTGTGAATCAGTGTGTATGGGTGTTTCCCAGTGCTGGGTTGCGGTTGGAAGGGCATCCACTGTGTAAAACATATGCTGGAATAGTTGGCGGTTCATTCTGCTGGGGTGACCGCTGATGAATAAGGAACTAAGTCGAAGGAAAATGAACAGTTGGTGGTTCATTCCGCTGTGGCGACCCCTGATGAATAAGGGACTGAGTTGAAGGAAAATGAACAGTTGGTGGTTCATTCCGCTGTGGCGACCCCTGATGAATAAGCGACTGAGTCGAAGGAAAATGAACAGTTGGTGGTTCATTCCGCTGTGGTGACCCCTGATGAATAAGGGACTAAGCCGAAGGAAAATGAACAGTTGGTGGTTCATTCCGCTGTGGCGACCCCTGATGAATAAGTGACTAAGCCGAAGGAAAATGAACAGTTGGTGGTTCATTCCGCTGCGGTGACCCCTGATGAATAAGGGACTAAGCCGAAGGAAAATGAACAGTTGGTGGTTCATTCCGCTGTGGCGACCCCTGATGAATAAGGGACTAAGCCGAAGGAAAATGAACAGTTGGTGGTTCATTCCGCTGTGGCGACCCCTGATGAATAAGTGACTAAGCCGAAGGAAAATGAACAGTTGGTGGTTCATTCCGCTGTGGTGACCCCTGATGAATAAGGGACTAAGCCGAAGGAAAATGAACAGTTGGTGGTTCATTCCGCTGTGGCGACTCCTGATGAATAAGGGACTAAGCCGAAGGAAAATGAACAGTTGGTGGTTCATTCCGCTGTGGCGACCCCTGATGAATAAGTGACTGAGTCGAAGGAAAATGAACAGTTGGTGGTTCATTCCGCTGTGGTGACCCCTGATGAATAAGGGACTAAGCCGAAGGAAAATGAACAGTTGGTGGTTCATTCCGCTGTGGCGACCCCTGATGAATAAGGGACTGAGTCGAAGGAAAATGAATGAATGTAAATGTTGAATTATCCTCTGCTTAGGAAATATCTATTTTTGATTGGCTACTGAACAAGCCACGGTGACTTGCCTAATTAGCCTAATCTCTGTTAAACATCACTTGAAAAACAATCAGAATTGAACAAGAGGGCTAATAAAGTTGTATCTACATTAGTGCTGTCAAAAGATTAATTGTGATTAATCACATCTAAAATAAGAGCTTGTTTTACACGACACTGCATATTTACATTCATGTATATATTTAAAGATGTTTCTCAAATTTATAAATGTAAGATTTATATCAGATAGAAATTAGAGGTTGGTTTATTTTGCTTTATTTATTTATGCGCAATATTCATACACATTACGTAAAAACAAAGTTTTTAATAATTTAATGCAATTAATTTAATCACGATTAATCGTTTGACAGTCATATATTATTATTATTATTATTATTTTTTAGATGTATTAGCCAACTAATGCTCATTTGTTTGCATTTGCTGTACGTGACTAAATGAATACTGTTCTTGTGTATTTGACAGAATCTGTGTGGCCTGCAGTGGAGCATCTTCGCATAATTTGAAGATTTTTACCACTAAAAAGTTTCAATACTTCTTATATAAGCTGATAAATATGATGCACAGTGCACATACTTTAATGCATTAATGATGTTATGAATTCACTTATGATCTCAAGAATAATTATGACCACATTTATAATTCTTATCTATTAATTGTTACATTTTTTTTTAAATGACTTGAAAACAACTAATGTGAGGTTTAATCTGCAAACCTGATCATGCATGTTCACTTTTGCTGTAATTCTAAACATTTAATGTGCTGCAACATTTGTTATGAATAGCTGACACTGCATTTTATGTACCGCTTTACCAACTAAATCAACTTATTTGACTTGGTTTTTTGGGTTGCACTTAATTTTGTGCCCTTTTACAGTGTAACTAATCATTTAACTACTGAATAATATTCATTAATTGCATGTGCACACACCGGCCACTTTATTAGGTACACTACTAGTACCAGGTTGGACCCCTTTTGCCTTCAGAACTGCCTTAATCCTTGGTGCCAGAGATTCAACAAGCTACTGGAAATATTCCTCAGAGATTTTGCTCCATATTGTCATGATAGCATCACACAGTTGCTGCAGATTTGTCGGCTGCACATCCATGATGCCAATCTCCCGTTCCACCACATCCCAAAGCTGCTCTATTGGATTGAGCTCTGGTGACTGTGGAGGCCATTTGAGTACAGTGAACTCATCGTCATGTTCAAGACACCAGTCTGAGATGATTGAGCTTTATGACATGCTGCGTTATCCTGCTGGAAGTAGCCATCAGAAGATGGAGACACTGTGCTCATAAAGGGATGGACATGGTCAGCAGCAATACTCAGGTAGGCTGTGGCGTTGATGCTCAATTGGTACTAATGGACCCAAAGAAAATCTCCCCCACACCATTACACCACCACCACCAGCCTGAACCGCTGATACAAGGCAGGATGATCCATGCTTTCATGTTGTTGAGGCCAAATTGTGAGCCGAGCATCCGAATGTGTGAGCAGAAATGGAGACTCATCAGAGCAGCAACGTTTCTCCAATCTTCTATTGTCCAGTTTTGGTGAGTCTGTGTGAATTGTAGCCTCAGTTTCCTGTTCTTAGCTGACAGGAGCGGCACCCGGTGTGCTCTTCTGCTGCTGTAGCCCATCCGCCTCAAGGTTGGCCGTGTTGTGTGTTCAGAGATGCTCTTCTGCAGAGCTCGGTTGTAACGAGTGCTTATTTGAGTTACTGTTGCCTTTCTATCAGCTGGAACCAGTCTGGCCATTCTCCTCTGGCCTCATCAACAAGGCATTTGCGCCCACAGAACTGCCGCTCACTGGATATTTCCTCTTTGTCGGAGCATTCTCTGTAAACCCTAGAGATGGTTGTGCGTGAAAATCCCAGTAGATCAGCAGTTTCTGAAATACTCAGAGCAGCCCGTCAGGCAGCAACATCCATGCCACGATCAAAGTCTCTTAAATCCCCTTTCTTCCCCATTCTGATGCTCGCTTTGAACTGCAGCAGATCCTCTTGTCTATATGCCCAAATGCAGTGAGCTGCTGCCATGTGATTGGCTGATTAGAAATTTGCATTAACGAGCAGTTGGACAGGTGTACCTAATAAAGTGGCCGGTGAGAGTATACTGTAAGGGATAGAGTGTGTTCGGTTTAGTCCCATGCAATTATGCCTAAATATTTGTAATTATTATAGAAACTATGTAGCAAGGACAATTTTTTTAATTAGTATGTGAATTAATTGTTAACGATTCATCACCGACGTCTTTAAAGAAATAAATGTTTGTCTTCATCTTGCTCTGTCCATGAAGTAACTTTTATTAACACAATATATCGCAATTTTTTAGATTTAGACGAGATGTTCAAGTATTTTTGGTCTGGAAAATGTTCATTTCAGCAGTAAAAGAGACTCTATGCAAACGAGATTAATTAAAAATGATTTATTTGATAGTTGAGATAACATTCTGATGAGGAATGTTGTTCATTAAGCTTCATGAGACTTGAAACATCCCGTCTCAACAGACTCCAGTTCTCCATTTAAAACACACTTTCATTAATACATTGTTGACACGCAGGGCCTCTTCAGAAAATAAACAACAACAGAATATTAAAAACAAAAATCATTCTCTGAGTAAACAACGACGCTCCGCTTATTTGGCCCCCGTTTGTTCAAGTGTAAATCCATCAGTAACAAGAAATAAATAAGAAAAACACGCGTGAAAGACGATGAGAGAGCATGCAGCATTAACACTCCAGCACACTAATACACACACACACACACACACACACACACACGTGATCAGCAGCTAAACTCATCTGCAAATGCAATATGCAAAACGCCAATGCAATATGCAAATTAGCATATTGCGTTTATTTAAATTTGCATTCCTTAACTTAATGTTTGCTGAAGGCGCAGCTGTGGTGCAGTGAGGGGTTTGCGTCTTTAATAAACTGCAGCAGTTTGCGTTCACTCTACATTAAGAAAGATTAAATAATCCATATAAAACAGTCCCTTAAAAGTCACGTCTCGTCTTCGGGTTCAGGCGTGTTTTGCACTCTCAAGATTATGTTTGCACACTTAAGATTACCACTAAAACCTAAGTGACTAGTGCCTGAGCCCGATTCAGAGCACTCACACTTCTCAAACCATCCGGGAAACGGGCCTGGGCACGGTACGGATGGCATAGTGTGAGTGCGCCCTTAGTGCATGTGGGTGTGTGCAAGAGAGTGTGAATGTTTCCCAGTGTTGGGTTGCGGCTGGCAGTGGCGCAACAAGGGGGTATGCAGTATATGCGGCGCATAGGGGCGCCACACATGGGGGGGCGCTGTTGTGCCAAAACTATTTTTAAAATTATCCTTATTAAAAGTTTCAAATAATAAAAATAAATAAATATGTTTTGTTAAAAAAACATTATTTTGCATTTTAAACGAATATAATATTGTTATTGTTTAATTCAAAATCATTTAACACAATAACATGCAGTCCCACAGCCGAAAGTGTTCATGTAGATGTAACTGTTTAGATTTGTTTTTATTTTTATCTAAATAAACTGTCAAATCATACATAATGTCAAAAGTTATAAGATTAATCTGAAAGTTTGTCTTCATTTATTATTAATTAATTAATATAAAATAAGAGGGATCACACAAACTGTGAACCCGCATACCCGTAAATGTGTAGTTGCGCCCCTGGCGGCTGGAAGGGCATCCGCTGTGTAAAACATATGCTGGATAAGTTGGCGGTTCATTCCACTGAGGCGACCCCTGACTAATTTAGACGGAAAAAAAAAAATGAATGAGTTGCCGGTTCATTCCACTGTGGCGATCTATAAAATGGAGACTAAGCCGAAATTTATTTATATTCTAGATTATTTTTTTTTATTTTAACATACATTTATATATATATTTATATATATATATTAACATCTCACACTTAAGATATTTAAAATAAAATAGTAATTTTTAATTAATAAAGATCGAAACATCACTGCAATAGCCCAGTGGTTAGTGCGCTGACAAATGGTGTGGAAGCGCTCCGGGTGTCCCGAGTTTAAATCTCAGCTCGAGGACCTTTCCTGATCTTAATACACTTCCTGTCAAAACTACAGTCCTGTCAAATAAAGGCAAAAATAAATCTATAAACTAAACAATCGAGATGATGGACACAAAAATGATTTGTGCTGCGTGTTCAAACTAATTTAGAAAGAGCTGAAACAACACAATTCTTGAGTTTTTTGTGGCACAACTTAACCGCTTTACGTTCAGTCCACTTCAGTTTCATTCATTCGTTCATTTTCTTTTCGGCTTAGTCCCAATATTAATCTGGGGTCGCCACAGCTGAATGAACCATCAACCATTTTACACAGCGGATGCCTTTCCAGCTGCAACCCAGTACTGGGAAACACCCATACACACTCATTCACACACATACGCTATGAACAATTTTTGCTTACCCAATTCCCCTATAGCGCATGTGTTTGGACTGAAACCCACGCCAACACAGGGAGAACATGCAAACTCCACACAGAAACACCAACTGACCCAGCCGGGACTTGAACCAGCGACCTTCTTACTGTGAGTTGATTGTGCTACCCCCTGCGCCACCATGCTGCCCTGCTAGTTAATTTACAAAGTGTGCACAAACAAACTCAAAAACAGAAATGCACTGCCATTTTACATACTGCACTGCTGATTTGCATATTACACGAGAAATTAATTTACATACTCTAATGTTTCCATAGTTACTGAGTCATCGGCTAGACTGCAAGGTAATGCTGCTGGGGTTTACATTAAGATGCTGCGTTTTTGCCAACACAGGCTCATTCTGTAAGCGTACCCCCGTATACATCTCTGGAGAGCGTGAATTATGTATCCAGAGGGATGTATGGCTGCATTTAATCTCTGAATGAACGCTACGGGGCGGTATGACGGCGTTCGTTTACATGCTACCAGTTGACCGTTTACCTTTATGTGGACGGCTTTTTACTACTGTGTCCAATGGCTCGCAGCATATGCTGGAGGACTTGAGACGCGGAGAGGAGTTGACCAAGACGACAGGGTTCGAGTCAGGCGACGAACAGTTGTAGAAAGCAGGTAAAACAAAAACAAGGGCTAAAAAATTAAACAAACAAGTAATTAACAGAGTGAGAATGTGGTCAAAATCAGGCGAGGGCTTTTCTTTCTCTGGATTGCTTTTGAAAACACTGGTGGTTGGGTTTAGGGAAGGAGGAGGGTGGGTCAGTCGATCAGTCGACAGCGGCCTCTGGTGGACACAAAACACACACACACACACACACACAAAGACACAGACTTAGACACACACACACACACACACACATAATCACACAGACATAGACACACACACACACACACACACTTCTGCTTACCCGCCTGAGCCGAAGCCCACCGACCAATGAAATCACACCGCTGAACAGAAGAGAAAAACACCAGAGCAGAACACACACTCAGAAAACACAAACACTTCAGCTCAGCTTCACACACACACACACACACACACACACCGCTGTCCTGCAAGAATGTTCACACTTCCGCAATTTCAGAAAAAGATGTAGCATGCGTCTCTGCTGTCTGTAGAGTGTCTGCTGTCTGTAGAGTGTCTGTGTGTGTGTGTGTGTGTGTGTGTGTGTGTGTTTGAGCTCAAAGACACACAGATGATGTTGTGTAATGATCAGTGTAGTGTTGTACCTGTGGACATGCTCTCGGCGGGGGTCAGTGCGTCCGGCGGCTGCGGCGGTGGCGGGAGGCTGGGTCGGTGTCGCGGAGGTTTGGGTGTTGGTCTGTTTTTGGGCAGCGTGCCGGTCAGCGGCGGCGGGGAGGCCAGCGCGGGCGGTGTGTGTGCGTGTGTGTGTCCTGGAGACGTGAGCACGCAGCTCTGAGAGTAACTGAAGCTGTATGAGGACGGCGTGCTGGGCGGAGTGGGAGACAGACTGGCTGGAGACGCAGACGGGGACACCTCACACCCACACAGCGCTGCCTTCGGGGGGATCGGGGCCAGCTTCTTGGACACTGGAGGAACAAATATTAGATTAAAGATGTACAGCTGAAGTCAGATTTATAAGTCCCCTGTGTGTTTTTCCCCTATTTCTGTTTAACGGAGAGCAGATTTCTTCAGCTCATGTCTAATCATAATAGTTTAATAACTCATCTCTAATAACTGATTTATTTTCTGTTTGTCATGATGTCAGTAAATAATATTAGACTAGATATTCTTCAAGACACTAGTGTTCAGCTTAAACATGTAAAGGTGCAGTGTGTAAGTTTGACCCCCAGTGGTTGAACTAGGTATTGCACTCATGGATCAAAGCGAACGCCAGCGCAGGTTTAAGCTGGATTTTCTAACGATGGTTAGTAATGTGGTTTCCAATATAAATTACACACTTTATCTGCCTTGTTTGTTGATAAATGGACAAGATTTTATTCGGAGTGAAATACCCAATAAAATAATAAGATCGATATTAACACAAGATAAATTTCCAATACAAGCTAATAGAAATAATATCTCCTTTTTTTTCCCAATACCTCCCAAAGCTAAAGAAGTACATTTTAAAATTTTTAATGATATTTACCCATCTTCAGAGTTTCTTAGACATAGATTTAACTTTGATCATAACAATTGTACATTCTGTGAGATTGACATTGAATCAACTGCACATTTATTTTTTGAATGTTTATATAGCAGAGCCTTTTGGTCTGATTTGTTCGAATGGCTGAAGATTTCTCTCAAGTTGTCCTCCCATTTTTCTAAAAATGATATTTTATTTGGTTTATTAGGGAAAGATGTTAATATTCAATTTGTATTGAACAATATTTTAATTTTGGGAAAATTTTATATTCATAAATGCAAGTGCCTTAAAACCAAACCACTGTTTTTAGTTTTCCAAAAGGAATTTTGGCTATACTGTAAATCTTTACAGCTGATAAAATCAAAATGTGGAAGAAGACTCTTTAGTCTATTGAAAAATTTTAAATTAATAGAAGACCCGATGTAAATGTTTTTTTTTTTCCTTTTTTTGTGTGTGTCCTTTCTCTGGTTTAAGTAACTTTTTCTCATTTTGATTTACTATGTTATTGACTTTATTATTTTTGCTCTGTTCTATAAATGTAGATAATAGTTGTTATTCAAATTTTGCCTTATTGTAATTGTGTTATGATGCAATAAAAAAAATAAAAAAAAAGGTTTAAGCTGGATTTATACTTTCGCCAGATGCCGCATGGCGCATCTCCGCTGACTGCACATGCACCTCACTAAATGCACAAGGCTTTTATACTTGCCACGCAGGGGCGGACTGGCCATCTGGATATTCTGGCAAATGCCAGAAGGGCTGGAGCATTTTTTAAATTTGGCTGTTATGCTATTTTTTATTTTTATATGTATTGTTTTTACATGCAGGCAGCTTTTATTCCTTGCAAAATGTGAATGATGATGATAATAATAATAATAAATGTTAAGCAATGGCCAATCAGCAATGGCCGGCTCGTTTCGAGAGGGGCTGACCCAATCAGAGGTTATGTGTACGTAATCAAAATCTGGCAAGAATGTCAAACAAACAATAAGTGCAACACAAGCTAATTGTCAGAGATGGAACGTAAAAAAGGATCGGTGGTGCCGAAAAGCTCAGAGAAAGCAGAAAATTGCTCAGATGCTGCCAAATGCATAAAATCAACTGAAATAGTCTCGAAAGGGGGCAGCGCAGTGGGTAGCACTGTCGCTTTACAGCAAGACGGTCGATGGTTCAAGCCTCAGCTGGGTCAGTTGGTGTTTCTGTGTGGAGTTTGCATGTTTGCGTGGGTTTCCTCCCGGTTTCCCTCACTAGTCCAAACACGTGCTATAGGTGAATTGGGCAACCCGGGCTCATTGTGGAAACGTAGCCCCGCGGACGTTTCTGCGGGCCGCGATTTACGTCCTGGGAGGTACGTATTCGAATGTTTTTTGTTTTCGCGGATCCGGCGGAACCGTCTCGGGCGGGCGCCTCTCGGGAGCGCGCGGCGTTCGTGCCCGCGCCGTTCTCGCGCGAATAGCCGCTGGATCGGAAAAAAAAAAAAAAAAAAAAAGCCCTCGTCTTTGATTTCGACCGCGTTTTCGGATCCCGCCGCGTTCTCGCCCTTATTTTCCGGATTCCGTTTTTCGTCTTAGCTGATTTCCGGAACCCGCCGTTCCCCGGACTCGATCCCGGTCGTCGTCCACCGCGGCCGGCTCCGGCTCGTCCTCCTCCTCCGGGGCCTCCGCTCAGCCGACGCAACGCTGTGAGCTAGGCGGACAAACTGATTGCGTCGGGAAAGCCCTCCACTCAGAGGCGAGCCATCGGCCGGCGAGCACGAAGAGGAGGGGCGGAGCGGCGCCACACCGCCCCGCAGCGTTCGCTCGAAAAAAACCAAACGCGCTCTTTACGTACCTCCGGCCACGTAAATCCCGGTCTCCAGAAACGTCCGCGGGGCTACGTTTCCAGAATGAGCTTGGGTTGGAATTGGGTATCCGCTGCGTAACACATATGCTGAATAAGTTGGCGGTTCATCCTGCTGTGGTGATCCCTGATTAATAAAGGGACTAAGCCGAAAAGAAAATGAATGAATGAAATAAACATATAAATTTGTTATAAATGTGTTGTTTTTGTTCCAGTCACATACATTAAATGTTTAAATATCTATGGTACTGCTTATATAATTTCCCCATCTGTACACCAATATAAGTAGTGAATGTGTGTGTGCTTGAGTGGGGCTGTGTCAGTGTGGTAATGTGGGCTGGTGTGGCTACAGTGCCAGGGCTGATTTTTAGTGCCAGTCCGCCCCTGTTGCCACGTTCGCCGTTGTTATATTCTTTAACACGACAGGGGGAGGTCAAAACAAACTGACCATAAAATCAGACGGACAAACAGAGAAGTGGAAAGTTTCTGGAGCTACGTCATATCATTAACCAGTTAAACTCTGCTGCTATTTGGGATTTGCGCCTGGATTTTGCCTACCCAAATTTAAAAGTTCCCAAATCCACATGCAGAGGTGTAAATGCAAATATTTGGTCTCATTTTAAAGAAAACCCTTTGAATTTTCATAAAACACTATTGAAAGTGTTAAAATACCCGTCTGTGTTATAATAAACACCTAAAATAAGAGGCGCTTTTTATATTTTTTTTTTGCTCAAATTTGAAAGTGGACCTTTTAGGTTCTGCTGTCATCCAGGTTCAGCTTCTGGAGGAGTTTATGAGCTCACAGAGCTGGATGCACCTCTGAAAGTATGCATGTCATGCAAATAGCAAATGCACCATAGAGCGACGCAACTGGCTCTTAAAGGGATCGGGAGATGAGACTCTGATTGGTTTATCCTCAAACACACCTATAACTCATTAAGAGGATAAGCTCAACCCTGTTAGACCATGAGCCACGGCGCAGAGCAGATTAATCCATCCTTAAAATAGCAAAAGTGGATTCAGACACACCCATAATGCTTTTGCACCCTGCGCTTTAGACTTTGCGCCTAGATAATTGAAATAGGGCCTTTAAGCCTAGTGCACACTAGAGGATTTTAAGCCTGATTTGAGCCCGATTTGGAAGTTAACGATCTCGCCGACAGATCGGGCTGTGATCGGGAAGAAATCTGCGGGTGCTCGGCGCTTGCCTCTCTTTATGTGTGAACTACTGAGCAACGCATCAACGAGGCTCGCTGACGGAAATCCAACATTCAGCATGCTAAATATTCCAGAGCAGTCGGCCGACTCAACCCCACGTGTGGTCAGATGTAGTGATGAGCTGCAGCCAATGAGAGAGCAGATCAGCATGAGCCGCGTGCCTGTGTGTTCAGGAGCTCAACAGAAACATCTGTGATTGGTCAGAATGGGCATCAGTGCACTCGCTTCATTCTGTGTTAGCACAGACTTGAGAGTAGGATATATTAACAGTGGAACTAGAATTCTGTAACTATTAGAATTACCATACTGCTCATTCTGACCGTTCTCATATGAAACGCCATACTGTCACAACATATTTACATTCAAAGCAGTTATTGAGATATTAAAATTAAGCTTTGAATTTCTGGCATCATATTTAATGACACCATTACCCTAAAAATATAATATTTTTTTGGTAATACAGCCTATAAATATGTAGTTAAGATACTAAAACACTTAAAGGTCTTGGCTTTCATTTTCACTTTCAAACAGGAGCTATTTTACAGCACAGAATATGCTGTTTTGAAAGATATCTGCAGTAAATTGATGTTTTTGCCATCAGAAGGTTTTGTTTATGTTAGCAGGAAGTTGCTAGGCAAAAACTGCACACATATTTAAAGTCACAGTGAAAAGTATCAGACATGCATGCTGTCATTTTGACCAATATGGTAATTTAAGGCAGAAATGCTCAGTTCTTTACTGTTTTATAATAAAAAAAATAACAATGTCAGAATGAAATACACTGATAGTTAGAAAGCGGCAGGGTGTTATTTGTTAGTTTTATTTCAAAGAGTTATAAAATTACAAAAATTAAAAACTCTCTGTGTATCTATCCACTGGAGCCTGCAGATGAGTGATTAATGCGCTGATAAATCATCTGATTTGACGATGTTTTTAAATGCTTTCTCCAAAGCTTGAAACGCTGTCAGTGATGTCATCAGCACACAAGCAGCCAATAGTGTTCAGCTTTTTTTGACGACTCCTCCCTCAAATTTTCATTGGCTGTGGTTTGGTAGCTTGAATGAGCTGTTGGGGAATGAGTTGTTGTCAGATCATGTGTGTGAGTCCCCTCTTGTGGATCATTCACAGAGTGTTGCGTATAGTGTGAACAGCACAGAGATCAAAAGACACAAAGTCAAGTCATGTAGTGTGAACGGCACAGCGATCTGCTGATGTTTAAAATCCTGTAGTGTGAACTAGGCTTTAGTGTAAGGACACAGGGATATAATGTAGCCTGCTTACCTTTTTTCACCGTTTTCATGCTTGAAAAGAGTCAAAATCTTACACACAGCACCTTTAAAGGCTTATCTAGGTTAATTAGGCAAGTTAGAGCTTCATTAAGCAATATCCGAAACACATATAGCTGAAAGGGGGTAATAACATTGAGCTTAAAATGTCCTTAAAACAATTAAAAACTGCTTTTATTCTAGCAGAAATAAATCAAATCAGACTTTCTCTAGAAGAACAAATATAAGAGGAAATACTGAGAGCAACTCCTGAATCTGCTCAACATCAAATATTTGAAAAAGAATAAAAATTGCACAGGAAGGCGAATAATTCTGCCTGCAGCTGTATAACAATATATGAAAAGTACACACATGACATGTGACAAACTCATGTTTGTATTGTACAGATGTAACGCAAACGTCTATATAGAATATTGCTGAAAGCCTGCCTTTTCCTTCACCTTTGCGCAGTGTGTGTGGACTCTGGTCAGACAGCAGGTTGTGTCCAGCAGGGGGCGCTGTGGGGGAGATTCCCCTCTGACCAATCACTGGCGACGGCTCCTTCCTGACAGAGAGCAGCACAAACATACATCAAACGCACTGCAGAATCAGAAACACTCAGTATACTGTTCATGCAACACCAGACATGAGCTGAAGCTTGCAGAGCAGACGCTAAAATAAAGTAAAAATGGAAGATAATGATGCATGTTTGAGTCCAGCGTGATTTAATCTCTAATGCTGTTATTATATACTATTGAAAACAGAAGTACTGGCACTCATAAATAGCCCACAGGGGACACGGTGGCTCAGTGGGTAGCACTGTGGCCTCACAGCAGGAAGGTCGCTTGTTCAAGCCTCGGCTGGGTCAGTTGGCGTTTCTGAGTTTGCATGTTGGTGTGGGTTTCCTCCGGGTGCTCCGGTTTCCCCCACAGTCCAAACACATGCGCTATAGGGGAACTGATCAACTACACTGGCCGTGTATCAACTACACTGGAGTGTGTGTGAATGAGAGTGTATGGGTGTTTCCCAGTACTGGGTTGCAACTGGAAGGGCATCCGCTGTGTAAAACATGCTGGAATAGTTGTCAGTTCATTCCACTGTGATAAATACGACGCCAAGCTGAAGGAAATCATCAATAAAAGACATTTTCATCACATCTGCAGCAACTCTCCAGGAAAGTGAGTGAATCTTTACACCCCTTGTATTTACCTCATGACTCTGAGTGCCCTGTCCCGGGGCTGGCCGAGCGAGGGCTCGTGGCGGGGCAGGCCGAGCGGAGGTTTGATGTAGACGGGCGGAGGCGGATGCGGGTGCGAGGGCTCGGCGGGCAGAGAGCCCTGTTTGGACAGCTGCAGGGAGCAGGGTTTGGGGTTGGAGTTGATGTCTAGAGAGGTGGAGGACAGCAGGGGTGGGGGCGGACTGTACACTGACCAGCGGGTGAACACTGGGGGGGGACCATCGGGACGCGCGTGCGGGAGGGAGAAAGAGGAAAAAGAGGAGGAGAACGAGGACATGGAGGAGAACGGGTACGGAGGGGGCGGTCTCTCCTCCTCGGGGGAGGGGCATACGTGACTGGAGTCCGGCCAATTGGACGACGCCTCCACCAAGCTGAAAAAACGGTCAAGATTTATAAGTAAAACGGGGCCGATTAGGAGGGAGTTAAAGGGAGGGGAGTGATTCAGTGCTGTTATAGATGCAGGAATATTCTGTGTTCAATATGATCAGATCCATTGACAGTGTTTGCGTGATTATTACCATGGCAACATTATGCAAATGAGAACCTCTGCTAATGAATAATTAATATGAATAAGTATGAATAACAGTAATATGAATAATAATAATAACTAATATTTTAACTTATATTTAATTTATAGTTAATATTATTAGGCGGCTCATTCCATTATGGCGACCCCAGATTAATTAAGGGACTAAGTCGAAAAGGAAATGAATGAATTAATTAATATTAATATAATTATAACAACTGATTATTGTTTTTAAAAAATGACTAGAAATCATCAGAATCATATCATTTGTATTTATTAATTTTATTGATTAATAATAATGACTTACAATATTATTAATATTTATCAAAATAAACAATGATTCAATTAACAAGTTTATAATCCTTATAATCCTTATTAACTGATGTTTTCTCTGTCATTATAATAATTCATATATTTCTAATTCATTCAAATTCATTCATAAAATTATAATAGTCATATAATAACATAATATATAATAATAATTATTGTATTCATATTGGTATATTTTTTACATTAAAATTTTTCTCATAATAATTTAATTAATTATCACTGGAATATACACATATTAATTAATATTAAGATTAAATAATTCATACATTTCTAATGTTATAAAATTCATTCATTCATTTTATTTTCGGCTTAGTTGCTTTATTAATCAGGGGTCGCCACAGCGGAATGAACCACCAACTTCTCCAATATATGTTTTACGCAGCGGATGTTCTTCCAGCTGCAACCCATCACTGGGAAACACTCATACACACTCATTCAAATGTATACAGTATGGAAAGTTTAGCTCATCAGTTCCCCTATAGCGCATGTGTTTGGATTGTGGGGGGAAACCGGAGCACCCGGAGGATATTATAATATTCATACATTATTAATATTGTTGTTGTTGTTGTTAATATGCAAAATAAACATCTTATAGATTGATAAAGTTGAACCTGTAGCATTAATTTAAATTATTACTGACAACCCAATGGGTCTGATTCATTTGCATAATGGCCATTACATTCATTAATAAAAGCATCAGTGATTGCGAACAAAGTTTACCCAAAAATACATATATAAAGAAAATCCCTAACCCTATATAGCAATAATTCATGCAGAATGCAAATCCAGAACTCCCTACAATAGAGGGAATCAGTAAATAATGTTGTAACATGGGATTAAATAAAAATGAATGAATAATGTTGAGTGAACTTGATTTAATAGAGAGAAAAAATAATAATTAAGAAAGAAAAAATAGTAATTTTAATATTCAATTCAGCCAACTAACAATTAATTCAAGCTTTTCACAATTATATTAATAACAGCAAGTGATAACTATTGGAATTATACATTTATCATGATTGTTCAAGCTGTTTTAGATGATGTTCAAACATAATATGATATTATTATTCTCCATCATGTTTTCAGCTGGCTGAACTGAAGGAGTAGCAGTGAACAGCCTAATGCCCCGGTGTTTCCTATTGGTTGTTTCTGTTTACCTGGTCCTATCACAGCTGATGGGAGGCGGAGTCTGTGAGGGGGAGGTGGAGAAATCAGCTGATTGGTCAGGATTCAGCGAATCATAGGGCGGGGCAGGTGGATGAACAGAGGGTGGAGTCGACGAGCTCTTACGAGACGAAGACGAGCCTCTGCGAGAAACCCAGGAGGTGTCCATCACTCGCACTCCCATACTGCAAACAGATCGCTTATACTCAGCCAATCATATCACACTATCTCAGAGACACAGCCAATCAGATCCCTCAGACTCGCAGCTACACAGCCAATCAGATTACACATACTCTAAAGACACGCCCAAACACATCACACACTCTCAAACTCACACCCAATCATATCACACACTCTCAAACTCACACCCAATCACATCACACACTCTCAAACACACACACAATCACAACACACACTCTAAAACACACACCCAATCATGTCACACACTCTCAAACTCACACCCAATCACATCACACACTCTCAAACACACACACAATCACAACACACACTCTAAAACACACACCCAATCATGTCACACACTATCAAACACACACCCAATCACGTCACACACTCTCAAACACACACCCAATCACAACACACACTCTAAAACACACACCCAATCACATCACACACTCTCAAACACACACCCAATCACATCACACACTCTCAAACACACACCCAATCACATCACACACTCTCAAACACACACCTAATCACATCACACACTCTCAAACACACACCCAATCAGATCGCACACTGTCAGACTCTCAGCCAATCAGATGGCGCACTCTGCCAGAGCAGGTAGAGACTGTACCTCTGTATCTTCCTAATGCTGCATTATTGGAGTGAAATCAGAAGCGTCAGTAATGAATAACTCTGCTGGATAATGTTGTTATTATGCGTCGGTGTGTACCCGTCTTTCTTGTAGAACTCCAGCATCATGTTATCGGTGGCGACGCTGAGCGGTCGGCGGCTCTGGTCCTGCAGTCTGCGCTCGCTCGGCTCCATGTCCGGCGACGGCATCGAGTTGTAGTTTGCGTTGTGATTGGTGTGCACGGGGCTGCCGTAGTTCCCCGTTACGTTAAAATCAATCTCTGCCAACACAAACAGCCATGAACTGATCACAACTGATTGTGTGTGTCTATATAGTTTTCATGAACGAATGTTTTTAGTTTAAGCTACTGAAACATATCAAGTTAAGCCAAATAAAAATAGAGAAGTGTCTGACCTCCAGGGAAGAACCAGTCTGCGTGCTGGATGATGGGCTCGATGATGCCGACGATCTGCAGCGAGACGGTGGTCATCATCTCTGTAATATCCCTGAAACAGACAGAGATCTAGCATTACTCATATTAGGGCCAGACAGAATCTGTGGACATGTGTTGCTATTTCTGTCATAAAAAAACAAAAATTATACATTTATATATATATATATATATATATATATATATATATATATATATATGTATGTATGTATATATATATATGTATGTATGTATGTATGTGTATATATATATATATATATATATATATATATTTATTTATTAGTGCTGTCAATCAATTAAAAAAAATTAACTAATTAATCGCACCTTTTAAAAAAAACTAATCGCGATTAATCGCATTTAAAATACTGAAACTTGTAATTTTGGCTATTTAAATGTAAAACTAATGTAAACGCAAGACAAAAACTATTAAAATTCAAAATATAATTGTTTAATAGAATTTTTGTTTAACTTGTAACACAGATTTCTTCATGTAAACAACATACCCACAATAAACCATCAAGATCCTGCTTGACAGCCATATTTATAACAGAAATTAAAACACAGGCATGTTAATGACATTTAAATTTCAAAACAATCAATGCCAATAAAGAAAACACTGATTTCCATGTTGGATTCTAAGTGGACTGCAAAAAAATGCCAAAATACAGGAATTGCAGATTTGAAAAATTATAATAATAAACTATAGAATACAAACTGTTGCACTCATTGTAAAGTTTTATTGCTGTGAGTTGAGAACATTAGTAATAGAGTAGAAACAATTTAGCTTAATCCTCCTTTACATTCATCCAGTTGCTAAGACTAGGAGTATCCCGCAAGTGCACAGAGACTCCCAAATGCCCGCAAATGAATGATAATTTCTCACAAACCGGTCGTTAAATACATTGCACACCCCTCTCCCCCGCATCCCTCCTAGCTCTTCAGGTAGCCTATGTCGCGCGCAACTCACCCCCACCGTCCTTCAGGTATGTCTCGCGCGCACACGCCCCTACTCCGATACGTCACTCACTCCACCCCTGACACCCCTCAACGGGCCTGACACAGACACACACACACAGACACACACACACAACTCGCTGGAGCGACTCCCCTCAGATTCAACACGCATGATCACGTTCATCAAATTTGCTTAAACTAAGCGTCCTAAAGTATTACTGTATTTCACAAGGATTCTGACACAACAACGCGAAGCATACGCTTTCATTGCGTTTAATGAGGAAACACGCTAAACTTGGAGGCGCATGCTGAAAGGCAGAGTAATGCCCTGTCTTTGACAGCTCGCGACTTCACCAGAGACTTTCTGAGTACATTTACATAAGACACCAATACTCCGATTTTAATATGATTAAGATTATACTCTTATTAAAAGTCTACCCTGTAGCCTTAAAAGGAACCTTACCTTAAAGAAACACCTAGTCACGAAATGCGGAGGATTTTCTTTCTGTTCGACATGCGGTATCAACTTACAACAGAAGTCGAAAGTTAAAAATGAAACACCCGAAATTGCATGAAACTCTGGAGAGCCTGGTGATGCGACTAATTGTTTTATACTGAAACTTGCCTTCAAAAAGTGTTTCCTTGGTCTTATCCACATTTCTTGCATGTTAAACACACGTCCACCACAACAGGAAGTAAAAAAAACCTGCATCTGCGTTAATTGCGTTAATTTTTTTAAACACGTTAATTATTTAAAATGAATCGCATGCGTTAACGCACTTATTTTGACAGCGCTAATATATATATATATATATATATATATATATATATATATATATATTAGTTCCACATAAATGTGTAAATAAATATATTTTTTGAACAAAGATTTCTTTTTCTTTTTTTTTTACAAAATACAATGCTTTAAAAGTATAAAAAGTAAATTTGTAAAATTTTTAATCTCCAGATTAATCCTGAGTGATTTCGAGAGTTGTCACAATCACCAGTAATCTAGCAGTTGCAGATCGCTGGAGAACTACAAATCTGTAACGGACTTCAAATCCCATTACACCTTACACACACCACTTCCAGTTCTCTCCCTGATTGCACACACATAGCTGGAAACGAATCATAGACTGATTATATAGTCACCTTTCACACACACACACACACACACTGCTGAGTCTTGTTCACTGTTAACCTGTAGCATTATGAACTGTTAATCCTGTCTAGTCTTTCTGTGTTTTGTTCCTTGCCTGGTTTTCCCATTAGCTTTTGACTATGATCTTGAATTACCTTTTTGCTCCTGTTTGACCACTGCCTGCCTGACTACTGTTATTAATAAAGGGCATGTGGATCCTCAACTCTGTTGTCCAGTGTCACTGGTAGGGCCAGATGGAATCTGCGGACGTTTTTAGCTATTTCTGCTGAGAATTTTGGTAAAAGTCTGCGGATTTCAGCGTAATTATTTTGGGAGTATCATCACTGAAACCTTAATATATGAACTGAAAAGTAATACCTTTGTAACTTTTGTTTAATGTTTAAAATGCAAATCCAATAGGATTCTCTTTATTTAGTAAATAAAGCAAGTCTCTCATATAACACATCTAGTAAAAGACGGAAAATATGACTGTACACACTGCAGAGTACATAAATCAGATGAACATTTTCACATTAGTCAATAATATTACTGAAATTAATTAAAAACTGAATAAATACAGATTTACACACATTTACTCAAGTAAATAAACAGAATTAATGATGGGCTAAACATCTGCAGAGTTCTGCACACGCAGATTTCATGTGGGCGAAAACTAAAAACCTAAAACATTAAATAAATAAGAATGACTTTTAACATTTATTTTTGAAGGTTTACAATGCAAATCCTATTAGATCCACTTGTATATATACTAAAAGACAGAAAATCCATTTCATTTATGTAATTTGCTTTTCAGTGTTGAACTCTCAATAATGACTTTAAACCACACTGAACTGAGCTAAACTGAACTGAACTTAAACACTAAAAACTGAACTACACTGTTCCAGTTACTATGACCATTTATGTGAAGCTGCTTTGACACAATCTACATTGTAAAAGCGCTATACAAATAAAGCTGAATTGAACTGAATTGAATACTTTACAAACTGAATTGTGCATAAATCATATACATTTTTGCATATTGTTCATTAATAATATTGAAATTAATATAAATAGAAAATTATAAATTAATAGAAAAAAACATCATATAAAATATATAATGTTTAATAAATATATATTTACACACATTTACATACAGCGATTCAATAAATCAACTCGATGATGGGTTGAAAATCTCCAAAGCGCTGTGTGTGCAGATTTCTGTGTGGGCCTCCTCATAGAGTGTGTGTGTGTGTGTATGAGTGTGTTTGTGTCGTGGTTTTGCATTAAAGCGTCTGCTAAACAAATAAATGTCAGCATCTCTCACCCCTCAGCATGCGCCCACAGCAGGTTGGGCCCCAGAACGATTGCAATGTTTCCTGGAGTCATTTTATTATACTCCTGATACTCGTTCATCTTGGCAAGAAA